TTGTGCATAGATCTTAGCCTAATACATTGTTTGCTTTTGAAAGATAGATACTATTACACAGCATTATGGTGTGAAACAGCTTGTAAAATTCAGCGTGAGCTTTCAGAAAGGCTTGGAATGTCTCCCTCTAGTTGTAAAGTAATTCATCTCCTCAGGGTGGCACGACTGGGGGAGGGTCCTGTGTGTCTATATCCTCCTTTTGATATCCCGAACAGTTGGCTGGCCACAGGAAAGGCACTGGGAAACCACATCACACACCAGCAAAAGGAAGAGGTCAGCAGTGCCAAAGGGCTGCATAAATACCAACTAACTTCCCTATCCACAAAAGGCACATTGAGTGTGATTGAAATGTGCCCATGTGTCACGTTCACAGAGATGCCCCAGCAGTTTTGCTGATGACAGTGCAGACAAGAAACAATCCTCTTCCCTCTGTTTGACACACAAACATAAAGATCCACAACTATCATTGCTTTGAAGGCAATGGTGAGTGTTCGAATATAGTCAGTAAGCCTCTACCTAAACTATTCAGATCAACGGGCAGATTAATTTCAAAACGAAGAAGGATGCTTTCTTCTAGTAGAAGGAAATTGACTGTTTAAAACCCCAAAATGTTTTTCCTTGAAGACAGTCCAACACAATAACAAAGTGGTATAAAATAAATGTGCCTCTTAAAATGAATAAAACCTTTCTGTTCCTTTGTGCACAGCAATACATTTTTTTCACCCACAAGAGACCCGTATGGTTTCAAAAGGAATAAGCGACTATAGTTCCATTGCAGCAAATCAGTTTATTTAACAATATTACACTAGTATATAACTAGAAAGTAGTCGAACACAACAATGTCAGCTTAATCGTGAAACACTAACATTTTGTCCATGACCTTAAAACCCATGCATTGTTAAAACTGTTGGAATTGCCAAAACCAAATCAGGTACAATACAGCCACACTGGTTGAATACACTAATCTGCCTAGGTCTGTGGAGGCCGGGAGGAGACTTTATCCAAATGGACTGGCAGGCCATTTCTGAAGGACATGGCAACATACTTCATGCGGGCCCGGACCACAGCCACATACTCGTTGTCCATCAGCCGGACGTTGGTGGTGGGCATCCTGTTCTTGCTCCAGTGAACCAAGCCCACCCGGTTCTTGTACTGGAGCTTCTTGTCCTGCAGGTCGAAGGCCTGCATGACCTGGTCCATCTCCCCGTGGAGGAAGGTGTTGAACGGCCGCCCGAAGATTCCGCGGTCCTGCATCAGCTGGGTCCAGTCCTGGTTGGTGTTCGGGACCGGGGAGGGGTAAATGAGATGACGTCTTAGGAAGTCCTCGTGCGTGGCCCTTTTGCTCCGAGCCCGGGTTTCGGGCTGTCCGCAATGGCAGTGGTAGACGGAGGCTGGCTCCTTCAGCAATTCAACGAGTCCCGTCGTGTACTCTCCTTGCTTCAGCGAGAGCCCGGCTCCTGCTTCCTTTTCATCCCCTTTCCTCAGCTGAAGGACACAGCCCCCGGAGACAGTCACTCTCACCACACAGTCCCGGCTCGTTCTTAAACTGCCCTCCTCTCCAGGCTGCAAAAAGACTTGCTGGCAGCCTTCAGAAAAAAGTTGGGCGCAAGAGGTTTTGGTTTCTGTGCCACGTTTAGAAATTTCAGTTAAGGCACAGCAAGAAACCTGGATATCCACAGCATCTGCAAGCACCAAAAGTGCAAGGAACACACAGTCTGTTGGCTTCATGTTCTCTGCTTTGTTGTCAAAGTAGCACTGCACTGATATTTACACAGTCAGCAAACACGGCACTAAAGTTCAGCCCAGCACAACATACAGTATCAGGTCTGGAAATAAATAACTTCTTCAGCATAGTACGTTACATGTAACATGGTCTAAAGGTTTGATTAAAAAAACAGATCAACAGCAGGATTTATGGGTTAAGACTGTACGGAGAGAGTTTGTTTAACCTTTGGACAGTGTTGGGACACATCTCACTCAAAACAAATGTGCTTTTGTTTTAGTTTTATGCCAAAATTGTATTTATCTCTGCAGCATTGCATTTTTTGGAAAAGAACCAGTTACTGCAGAGTTTCAGAGTGTATTGAATGATTAATTCCTATATCTTCAAAGACCCTGTTAGTTTTTAACAATGCAAGACAAGTTTTGTAGGTAGACCTTTAGTGCTTCGGTGGTGAGTTCTATCTTGGCTGAAAAAAGACATTTCCTGTACTTATCATTTTTGCAGCATGTGCAAAATAATAAAAAAGCAGCCGACAAATTACAAAACATACTTCTTAATCTTTTCAATCTGAATTTTTAACATTTTTGAACATTTTTGACACCAAAGTGTCGCAATCTATACCTGTACCTTTAAAACCTTTAGTTGCTGGTCTATAATGGAAATGTTACTAATTTAAATGCTGTACTGTAAAAAGAGATTGATTTAGAAAACGATGTAGTACAGTTCCAGTTTTGTAAAGCATGAATAACCTGCTCCATCCTTAAAATGAGAACTGAGCTGTCAGAGCTACTTCTTCACACCCAAGAATAACAGGCAGAATGCTGTGCCACAAATCTGAATGCATGTTTATTCCTAGTTAATGTCACATGCCTGCAGCTGAAGTGGTTCTTTAGGCCTGTCATTTCCTTCTCCTGTGGTGGGATGCAGAATCCTGTGAATGGGAACAAAAGTTCTGAGTCGGGTCCTGTCTGCAGTCTGATCCATTGATGAACTCCTCCCAGTCTTCAAGCTGAAATATCAACAATGTTTTTGTCTTCAGATTTCATTCCCGAGCCTTACTGGGTAAAACCATGTAGCAGTACTACTAGAACTACGACTGTAACTGTAGGTTACATAGATGAGCATATCATGTACATAATGCTTCTACAGTATTATACAATATGCATACTGTACTTAATACCAGGTTTATCAGGTAATACTCCAGAATAATATAACTAACATGTATAAATCAATGTTTAAGCCCTTTTTAATTATATTCTTAATTTGACCATTTGACCAGATGTTCCTAGCAAATGTTTCTGCTTCTATTCTTGAAATGTGCTGGAGAAGTAAAAGTGACCATACAATTATATCAAAGCAAAACATAATATTACTGTATGACAATGTGTGGGTAAATGTAATGTGCTATACTAATTCAATCACTTTAATGCACAGCAAACATTAAGGGAAAAAGAGCCATTTAGCAATCTTTTAATTAGTTTTGTTTTGAGTACTTTTCATCACATTTTCAATAGATATCTTTTCCAGCTAAGTTCACCATAGCAACCTTATTTAGAAATGTATATTGTAATAATTTATCAGAGAAGGGAATTTTAAGGGGCTTAAAATATTCATGGTAGGCTCGGAGATGATTCAAACCATTGACTTATTTCAGTTAGGTGAAATGACTTACAGTATATACTGTATACTGTAGCTGTATTTTAATGAACTCATGCATGTCACAAACCACACTCACCATGGAAGCTGCTGACTCACAAAACATTTATTCATGTCCATTTCCACAAGCCTGGAGACTGGAGATGGGAAGTGCAAAGTTGTGCAAGAAAAATCCGGAACGTCTGCTTCTGACATTTGCCACATTGGGGTCACCATGGATATCATGTCCTTAGTTGCCCCTAGGGAAATGACTGCTTTGGTGCCCAAAACAGGCTCCAAATTTGAAAAGAAAAACAAGCAGATCTTAAAACAACTTGCCTGTAACTATAGCAAAAACTCCATTGCAGATGCAAAATTTCCTCTGAGTGCTTTTTATAGCTGAACAGTTTGACAGTTGTCATTAGAGTCATGCATCGTGAGTATGACATTTGTTTGCAATTAAGGCTGAACTGAAAGTCATCTTAGACAAGTACACAATTGGGAGACATTTAGCCTGACTGATGATCCTGTGAAAATGATTTAAATGATATATAATCAAATAAAATGGTTCCAGTGTTTTTCAACCACGTACACTGCAGACCTTTGTCTTTGTTTAATAGTAGTTAAGTTCCTCAACCACATTACAACAGACAAGGCAAAATCTGCATTTTATTAAAAGAAGCAAGATGGATATTTTGGAATTTACATAAGAAAATCCACATACAGTATACGTTTCTGAACACCAGTTTATGGTGTTTTGCTTTGGATTTTTAAATGGAGGTTCACCCCACAAAGAAATAGCTCTGGACACCTGTTTGTCAGCGAAGGAGGGCATGTTTGACAGGGGATCTTCTCTGGGACAGAGTTTGTGCCTGCTGAGCCTTCTTCCTCGGTCTTTTAAAGCTCTTTCTCTGAAGATCAGAAAACAAGCAGCAGTGTGAGGCAGCAATGGGATTCTCCTGGTCCCTGTTGGAGTGGAATCTGATTTACCAGCTGTAACACTTTTGTAACATCATCACAGGGTTTTCAAAAACCAACTTAAAAGAGAACCAAGCAGTCAAAGACAAACTTATATTTATTGTATTAAGAAAGTATTTTAAAATATACTTAATTTCAGGTTATTTTGTGGTTTGACTTCCACTCGATTTTGAGCCAAACTTTTATATTTATACTTTTTTTCCAAATAAAGTATCAAGATCAAACTTTGCAAGTTGGATGTTGGGTCTAATGACCCACCCAGGAGCACCTAAGGGACCTGCTTATTAAGGATTTCCTATTTATTGATTTTTAACATTCAAAACAGTGCAACTGAGAGCACATTATGTTGTTTTTCAGGGTGGTCTTGTTTCTGTACACTGACTGCACCTGAGTTCAATCATGCATTACAAAGTCAGACAGCAGCAGGTGCCTTTCAGGTACCTTCGTCCCCCTGTCATTAGGGGTTCGATGAGGCAGACCCCTGCCCACTCCTCGGTGCTGTCCAGGGGGCCAGCGAGAGAGTATCCCAGAGACCCCCTGTGTTCAGGGGGCTGAGCCCTGTTCTGTCTCCAGCCATGCTTCTTCTGCAAGAAGATGGAGAGGGTCTGTTGTGTGGGTAGACTCCAGTTGCAACAGTCATTCTGTTTTTTTTTACTTAACTGTGTAACATTTTTTTTGTGCATTTAACTTTTGTTTTACCGTTCACAGCTCAGTTTGAAATAGCTGTTATTCGTACACACGCACACGTCCTCTTTTCCATGAGCAGTTGAGACCTACTTCATTTTCTAGAGACAATCTAACAGGTTAAACCAAGGACAGAGAGGATCCTTCAGTTTCACCAGTTGTGGAAATGTGTGCAATATATTATTTTAAACATCTGGTTGGCTGATTTTTATAATTATTCAGCAAAAGCTATTATCAGTGATAGGATTTGTGACTTTATCTTGATTATCCAAAAAGAGTAATCAAGTCATTTATTAGCAGACATGGCATAATGGTCAAACTTTGTTTTGGGGAGGGCAGAGAACAAAGAAGTGGAATCAAGTTTTGATCTTAGATATTGGAAGAATCAATCTGCTATTCATCGCCATGCGTGAACAGCACAAAGAAATGCCACAATATCATGTTGAATATCACAAAAATGAGATTTAACAATCATCTTCCAAAATTCCAACTATTGAGCACATACTAGCCATAGCATGTCTTGTCCAGGCTTGCAGATATGTCAAGCCTATTCAGTATATATTCAGACTCCTGCCAAGCAGGGGTCTGGCAGGTGTGTGGCTCTGCAGAGCAAGCAGATGTGGTCCAACTGTGGCGTGCGCATGGCTGTGTTCTGTGATGACCTCCCTGATCTCCAGCGTCCTCAGGAAAGCTGTCTCTTGTCTGATGAGAGTGGCAGGCGGGCTTGCTGGAGCCCAGAGTCCTGTCTTTTCTGACTGCACACACTCTGAAAGAAGTGTATTAAAAGCATCTAAAAACTAAAGTGGGAAGCTGTCATTGGTGGAATTCAAAGTTCAAAAAGCTCAAATATCACGTAACACGAACTGTTGCTGTAGCAGAAAAAGACTGCGGTACTTTAATGTGAGAGTCACATTGGCATTTATTTTAATAATGCATTCCCACAGTTTACCCACTCATGGAATTACTGTTATTGTTTATTAACTTGCTGCACACTTGTTTAGTTTCAATTGTGATACAAAAAATGATCATATTTATCAGGTATAATCTGTGGTATCATTTTTACCACTTTGTCTTAGATACAACTATTCACTATACTTCTTTGGTTTTTAAAGTGAGTGCTTTATAAGTCAAGTTTAAGCATTGGACTAACGGGATCTGTTTTTTTACTGTTCTTCGATCACGCAGAGTTTCTTTTGTACCTTACAGAGCCCTGCCTGCAGTCTCCCACTGTGCAGTGCCTGTGATGAAGTCTACCGATTGTGCTGCCAGTCTGTATGTGTGAACATCACCTTCCAATGGGCCGACAGCTCAGTCCTGTGCATCACTCCCTCAAGCATGACGAGAGAGAGGAAGGCTGTCAAGCCCTGAGGTTGTTGTTCACTGGTGTACAAATTCAATCCAACTTCAGAAAGCATAGCCATCAAAGGTAAGTAAGCTCCCTCGTCATTGTGCACTGCATTTCAAACCAGGAAGTTCGAACTGCAGATTAATCTCAAGAGAAATTAATTTTTGTGTTTTCAGTCACTTGATACGTGATTACAGTACATGGGATAAGGCCGACTGAACAGAATTCAAACCATTTTCATACCGGTGTTATCTTTTCAGAGAGGCCTGGATGTGCAGAAACTGTCTTACAGCTAAATGTCTGGCACACCTAACAGAATAACACAGGCACAAAAATAAATGATGAACAAACAGGTAATTATGCTAGAATGCAGTGATCTATCCAGGGAAAGGGAGAAACACAGGAAGCTTGGCTTGTGGCCAGTAGTATTCTACCTGCTTCTCACTTTCCAGGGTAACAGGTGTGACACATTTTCTTCTGGAGTCTCCATTCTCAATGGTACAGCAGGACCTGTAAAAAAAATCAGGACCAGAAGGAAATTAGCTAATTAGGAAATTAGAAGTATCTTCTGCGCATTATCTTCCACGGTTTTACTTTTAGCTACCCGTTAAAGACTGAAACTTTACCTAGTTAACTTTGAACTAGTTTATGCAAATTCAATGCAGATATGTAAGATATACTCTCTATTCACTAGCAAAGCAGCTCACTGAATAATTCTTTGACAGATTGATCAGTTATCAGATCTTTATTTTTTTGTTTTAATATTTGTGATTTTACTTTTTATAGGAGGGGAGAAATTACTGAAACTATGAATCCCCTAACTATCCAGTCTGACTGTATTATGATTTTGGACCACCTTTGTCATCAGACACAGAAAAGCACATACATGTCTTTACTGATGGCTCGACCTTTGACCTCCAGTGGAGAGTTTCCTGGGACTTGGCAAGAGGTTTGTGCTGTTGAATGAGTGTGGCTGAGCGATCTGCAAGTCACTATGAAATTAAGATATGGGAAAGTTAGACTGTCTCTCTTTGACAAGGTTATGAGGTTTTATAGGCATGTAGCTGTAGTTGAATATAATTTCAACTACATTCATTTTAGTTGAATGTAATTCATTATTTCAGGTATAACCTTATTTTAATTCAAGCTTGCAACTGTGGTCAAAAGAGCTTGCTAAAATGTTGTGTTGGGTGTTGTTGTCACGGAACAAAATGACACCTCCTAGGGTAAATTCTGCTTTATGAAATTCTGCTGAGCAGATTCATGAAAAATGCCCAGAGTGAACTTCAGCATGCTGCGTTCAATAGTTTGTGCAGTTTGAGAACACTTAAATACACGTCAGTGACTCCCTTAGTTGGGCTGCAGGACTAACCTGTCCTTTCCAGCTGTGTGGGGGAATTCCACACAGCTGCTTTGGCAAGTTCTTCCGTCACAGGCCCAGCAGAACACAAGTCCATAGAAGAGGTCTTGGAGGTCACACCTGGCAACCTCTGGCCTGGGAAGAGAAGATGTGGCAGGCAAATGGGAGGACGTCTTTATGAGGTAAACATGGTCGCTGAAATGGGTCCTTGTCCGGCACCCATTCACTGACATGTATTGAAGCAGAAGGAACTGGACAGTGCCTGTATTACTAAAATTATACAAGGAGGGTTTAATGTCAGTTATTTTGTGTTTAAATTTTTTAGGGAAAGGAAGTCGCGTTTAATGACTGGACGAGCTAAATACTTCCATTGACCTTGTTATATGTTAAAAAACGTTAAAAACCCCTTACTTCTCCCAAACATCAAGGCAAAAAGTATTTTGACCCTTCCCAGCTTAGACAAAAATGGTTATGGGAGCCCTTTTTTACAGATTAAATTTAAAAGCGAGCCATTGTTTACCTCTCAGCCATCTTTCCTGATAGCATATTCCTAGCCTTAAAAAAATAAAATGTATTTCTTAAATTGTTCTCTAAGTGATAAACTGAAAATGCCCTCTTTTATTTTTAGCCCTGTGACAGCTCTCCACCCACTGTCACAGACCAGGCTCCGAGACTGTGAGCTCCTGCAGAGAATTAAATCTGAGAATCACACAGCAGACAGCTTTCTGTGAAACAGAATAGCACAGGCTCATCATCTGCCAGACAGCAGGAACTGTTTTGCATTCAAGGCTGTGGATTTTATCACTTCTGAATCCTGGCATGAATGATCTATTTTTATAATCGGATCGGTAGTAGCTGTCCTTCGCAAGAGGTAAAATAAAAAATAGTAACAATTCTGATATTCTCTGAAGGAGGACAAAACAAAGCAGTCTTGCATTAGTACAAGAATTAGTAAAGAATTAAAGATGTGCTCCTTCATTACATCTGCGTCTGCTGCCTCTGCCAAGCCCTGATGAGCTTGGTATCGGAGAACCCTCAAGGCTTTCTGAACTAACTGACGAAGCAAACTGCCGGCGATGTGTTTATTTCAACTGCTTTCAGAAATCTTAGGATTTAACTTCACAGTAACTGCGCAAAGAAGGAGTCGAACATCTCATTTTCTGCCTGTTTGAAAATTGAAAGGAAATACTTAAGGTGCTTGTAACAAATTAGATGTTTTTCAAAATCAGGAGATTTTTATATGCCATACCACAAGTGTAAATCACAGCTAATAACTCGGTGAATAGCCAACAAGCTGTAAACACCAGCCAGCACTGTTAGAAGTGGAGGAGCTCTGAATGTTGACATTCAGAATATTGTACCTCTTCCAAAGTGACAGACAATAAATATTTTGATCTTTCCCAGCTTTAACACTTTTGCCAAGTTTTTGCTTTTACAGCTTTAGATTAAACATACCCTTGGCCATTTTTTGCCCTTGTTCAGTGTCTGTGTCAGCCCGGTGCCCCATCATGCAAATGTCAGCCTGGACTTCTGCTGCTGACTGAGACAAAGAGTGCAGTTAAGAAAATGAAATGAAACTCAGGCAACAATCATACCATGCAGAGCACTGGCAATTTGAGCCTATTCTCCTCTGTGGCACAGCAGGAGCAAGGCAGGCTCCACTTAATATGAACAAAGGCACGTATTCTTCACATACATCAGAAGACCATACCTTCCTCATGCCTTTTTGTTTGGATTTGTTTTTTCTCTCTTGCGTGGGATTCAAATTAGACTGAACGACACCAATGCTATATTATTGTCTCTGTGTGACAGGAACACATCACATTGGATCTGGAAATGGTGTGAAAGTTGATTGCTTAAGTAAATGATAAAACAAGTTAACACCATATCTGCAAATGTTTGCCATGGCCAATGAACACACAACTCTGAAGTTAAAAACTTTTTAATCCAAGACTCAGGGCCAAAAGATGTTTTGTTAAACTATTTATTTTCAGGCCATCTGCATTACTAAAGAAATTCAAGGTGAAATTAATTAATCCATAAGCTGCCTCGGGTCAGCACCCATAATGCAACCCAAACAGGATGACAGTAAAAATGAATATCATAGTTATTATGTAATACTTCATAATAACAAACAGAACTCTCCTCTTTCAAAATCTCAAGCACCCTTAAATGCAATCACACCATTCTGAACTATTCTCATAACCTATTTAAACAAAATATACACTGATTTATTAACCCTTTGAAGTCATGCCACCCTCTTCATTTGTGATCCATTATTTATCCCAGCACCCCTTCAAAGCCCTGACACCCTGCCCCTGATTCCCTGCCCTGGAGGCCCCTGAGGATGTACCAGGCCGTCGCCCCTTTCTCTCACTGCCTCACTGCCCAGGGCCAGAGGTTCCCACGGCGACAGGCGACCGTCCTCCACAGGCCCTTCAGGTGCAACACCAGCCTCAGGCATTCCTTAGATAACCAAGGAAATAGATATAATAACAGGAGGAGAGATGAAAAACAGAAGGGACAAGAAGACCTTACAGAAGAGTAATAATTTCCAGAAAATTATAAGGCAGAAGGAAGAATTAGCAGGTTGTGTAATAATAACTGACAATACTGAGCCTCAGACTGGCATCTTATTCCTGGAAATGTCTTAAATGTTGTAAACATTTATAATGAAATAAAAAGGATACCAATCGTTGTTTTCAGCTCATTTTGCCCCTCTTTGTGCTGTTGTGTACGCAGGCCTCTAGGCAGCGCCAGTGCTGCTCGTTCTGTCTGCTCTGCCCCCGCCCGCGCCCTCTCGCTCCCAGCTCTCCGACTCCAGCTGACCGAGACGGAGATCCTTCCGGTGCCGAGACCGACAGAGGACTCAGTTCCATCCTGCTCCAGGGCTGAGGAGCAGATCTGCAGGGGAGAAAACATATTTTTAAAGAAATTTCAAACATGTGGCTATTTAAAACATATTAACATTCAGTCAGTAAACCATCCTGCTTAGCACTGAGGTAACCTGTGTTAAAGGCCTTATATAAATGAGTAGTGACTATAATAAAAGCCATGGCCCTGTGCAATAAGTATCCATCAGGCATGCAACAGTCAGGATCCGTGCCAGAGTCAGTATGATTTGGACAGCAGTCTGCTAAAAACCAGCAGTCATATCACTCTGCAACTCACAACTGCAGCCCACTGAAGCTTAGCAGGTGTGAGCCTGGTCAGTACCTGGATGGGAGACTCCTGGGAAAAACTGAGGCTGCTGCTGGAAGAGGTGTTAGTGGGGCCAGCAGGGGGCGCTCACCCTGCGGTCCATGTGGGTCCTAATGCCCCAGTATAGTGACAGGGACACGATACTGTAAACAGGCGCTTTCCTTTGG